GTCGTGCGGAAGGAGCTCTGGTGGATCCGGATGCGGTTCCGCAGCGCCTGCCCGCCCTGACCCCAGCTCTGGGCTGTTCCTTGCTAGGGCTAAAAATTAACGGTTGAGGACTAACGAACTTCAATGGTGAAGGGGAAGAAACTGTTGAAGTAGTTGCACGCTTAACTTTGTTTATTCAAACTTGATGTTTTTTTCCACACCTCTTCCGTTTTCATTAGGGGTTTCCCCTGTTTTTTGGAAGAATTGATTTTCCTGCAACTCCTCAGCAAGTGAAAATGAACTCTGTTTCCCTTTGGCCTTATCCACAGGATGGCTCAGCAGCAAGCACTGAGGTTCCGTGGCCCAGCTCCCCCACCAAACGCGGTCATGAGGGGCCCGCCGCCCCTCATGCGGCCACCTCCACCTTTCGGTATGATGCGAGGTCCTCCTCCACCACCTCGCCCCCCTTTTGGACGTCCTCCGTTTGATCCAAACATGCCTCCGATGCCGCCCCCAGGAGGGATTCCCCCGCCAATGGGACCTCCACATTTACAGGTAAAGAGCGGGAGATTCTCTTGGTTTGTCGAGTTGGGATTTAGGGACTTTTCTTGTTTGTTTCCACAAGGGGAAATGATCAGAGGAGGGACATTGACATGGATGAAAAAAATAGCAAGGCGTGACGAAAACGAAAGGCCCATGCGTGGTGTTCTAAAACTAATGCATGCCGGTAGTATGTAAACACAGCTTCTGTTTAGCTGCCCGAGGCAATTCTAAATTAATCAATTATGCAGTTAGAATGTGCTCAGTGGCAGAGTCTTTCCTGACACCTGACGTGGCGTTGGTGCCCTGTGGCTGTGCAGAGTGCTGGGATTTCTGAATGCCTCCAAGCAGGCATGTGAAATACACAGCAGCCTTCCAGGCTCGTCTTGGTTCTGCCCGCGTTCACCGAGTGGGTGGTGATGGGTGCACACAAAGCCTGGCAGAGGAGGTGCTGCTGAATTTCGTGTGGCATGAGCTGTGGTGGTTTGTTGTTACTGGTCACCAAGGGATGGGTGAGGTGGGCAGGCAGCAGTTCTGAGAAGTGGGTATGTAGTCAGTGACGAGGTATGCTTTGTTTCAGCACCGGGTTCAGGAGGGGGTATCGTTAGTGTGCCAGAAATTGTCAGCACCTTCACAAAGGAATACTTGACATTTGGAAAAAAAAACTAAGAGTAGGCTCAGTGTTTGACTGGAGCAGCTGCAGGTGGCCCTGGTGCTGACATAAGTTTACTCTTGGCAGAGGGAGAATGCCCTTTATCTTACATTTATTGTTGTTGTGCTTTGTTTTTTAAAACTTACAGCATTCCTAGCCCCTACAGGGGTAGTATGAGCCCGCTGGGCTGGAGTGAGCTAGATTTCTGTTTGTGTTTCAGGGTGATGTATGTTTAAGTTCCTTTGACTGCTTTTCGGAGACTAGGGCAGGTTGAAAGTTACAACACGTTTGCGAGTTAGAAATGCATTGTGAGAGTACAGTGCTACTGGGGCAGTGTAGTTACTCTGCAGGGCTGCAGGCGGGCCTGCACGGAGGAACAGTACGATGTGGTTTATAAATAGTGGTTTAATTCCACCATTTGTAGTAGAATAGTGAAAACTTTAGTGCTGTGAAATTTCCTTTAAAACGCAGAGGGTGTGGGCAAGATGGAAAGAGAACGTGCTGACGTGGGTTGTTTCATGGTGTTTGAGGCTCTGCTTTGCCTGTGTTTTCTGGGAGCAGGGCGATGGGAGCGTTCCTCAGTGCAGATGGGCTCACTGTACAGCTCTGCTGACACACAGGGAGCAGCAGCAAAGCAGCAGAGCATGAACAAACACACGCTGGGCTTCAGCTGGAATAAAGTGACATCAACCCGCAGCCTAATTTGGTGTGCTGCTAGCATCCTGAGCACAAGATTTGGAGAAGAAAGCAGTGTATGTGTTCCGTAGCAGTTTATCTCTGTCCTCTCTAAGAGGATGCACACACTGTGGTGTGAGAACCTGGGCTGCTCAGGGACGTGGGTTTTGTTTCACTGAAACGTTTGCAGCTGAACAAAGCTCCTGGGGGACTGACAACTGAAACGGTGTGTTTGAGGGATGTGAACAGCCCCACTCCCCTCCCTGAATGTCATCTTCTCTCTTCCTTTTGTTCAGCACGAGGGGCCTTGTTCTCCGGTATGTTTTCATGCTCAGCTTAACTTTCTTTAAGACTATTTCCACCTGCTGCGCCGTTTTTCTGGTGCTTTATGATCCCATTTCCCCCTTGCTTGGTGTTCAGGTTCGTGTGCCCGTGCACTGCCGTGGAAGCTCTGGAACAACGAAGAGCATCGCAGCGTGCGGTGGAACTCAGACCGAGAGGGGAGAACAGGACCTTGCTGCTTTCTTGCAGTTTCAGTAATCAGCCAGAGTTAATGTGAAGCCCCAGGCCTGGCTGCTGCTGTCCTCTTGATTTGTGTGTGGTTTATGTTCTGAACGTGCCTCAGCTCTCAGCTGTTAATGGCATGGCTGCGTTACCGTGCCGTGCAGTAAGCGTGTCTTCTGCAGCTCGTTGCCACACATGGAATCCGTGCACCAGACGTGTCTCAGTGTTGCGTGCCGTGTCAGTGCTCTGCTCTGCACTGGCGGTTCGGGTTTTAGCTTCTTGTCCTGGTTCCGGTGCGAGGGGCGACACGGTGCTGAGAGGTCCTGTGTAGGAATGGAGGAGAGGGCACGCCTAGAGTGGAGCCCAAGGGTGCTCCGGATCCCCTGGCCGTGCACCTGGGGTCCGCTCTTCGCTCCCAGGGCTGCCCTGGGGTGGTCTAACCGTTTTTTTGGGAGGGCAGCAACAGCAGGCAAAAAGTGAGCTCTTCTGGGTTCTTTTTACCGATTGTAGAGCATCAAAGAGAAAGATCATCTCGTGGCCAGATGGAGGAGCTGTGGAGAAGAAATATGGAAGGAGAGAAAGGCTGCAGTTACCTTAATGGCTTTTTTGTTTCGAATTCTGTCCGTGGACTCTTGATTTACTTTATATGGTATTTAACAAAAATCAGAGCTGGTACACGAATTTAAAAAAGCAGTTTACAACATCGCTCTTACCGCAGAAATTTTCATCGCAAGGCCACTGCTAAAGGAAACCAAGCGCAGGCAAAGCCAAGGATGTGGCACGTGCTGGGAACTGCCAAGGGCAGGATTCCCAGTTCCCAGCACGCAGGTGCAGCTCGGGGCCCACGTGTGCGGCACGGCACAGCGCGGCACGCCGCCCGGGGCCGGTGGTGCGGGTTTCCTGCACCCAGCTCAGCGCCAGCCCCAGGCCTGCTGCAGGGCACCTGCCGGGCCCCTCGCTGCTGAGTGCAGAGCTCGAGGGGTTTTACTGGTGAGCTGTCGGGGTATTGCCTCTGCAGAGCAGATCTTCTGACTCACAAGCTCAGTTAGAACCGGAGCGGCGGAGGTGATGAGGTCAGCTGTGCCTGTATGCAGAGCAAGTTCAAGAACTTGGTGAATTTTGTCAGCTGCCTTTTTTCTAGAGGCGTGTTCGCTGTGTGTTAGGAGATTTCAGAACAGCCCAGATAAGCAGCTGGAGTAAGGGAATTCAAGGCACCTTGAACTGGAAAGCAGGCTTTCGGTAACGGTGGTGCTAGGGCAGCTCTGGATTTCTTACAGTGGCGCAATGATGAAAATGTAATTTGATTTTTTTTTTTTTTTGAATTTGCACTGGTTAGAATTTTAATTAATGGGAAATCAAGAAGTAAATGGGTCGCGATGAAATGCCCTGCTCTGCTGTGCTAATAAATTGGAAGCTTACTTGCAATTTTTTTTGGGTGTGTATTTCTTCACCAGGAGGGTCACTGTGTAACTGTTCAGTGGTGTATTTAATTCACAGCTGGGGAAGTCTGAGTGGCAGCTATTAAGGAACAGTCCTTCTGTTCTTTCTCCTTCTGGTATTGGGATATTTTCTCCTTTTCAGGAGAGGAGTTTTCTCTCACCCCGCTTCTTTCCATGCCACCTTTTTCTGATGCTTTCTATTTATGTCAGCATCTCAGATGTGAAATGCCTACTGCAGCTGTTCTGGCATAGGTGGTGATGTGTCAGGAAGTGCGTTCCCTGAGCTGGTAGCATTAGATTTTTAAAGAAGCTCTTGAGACTGGTAGAGTTAACCTGTAGTGCTGTCATTGTACTGTCTGCTGGTGCTCTAGTAAAGGAAAACTCTGCTTGAAAATTGCATTATTGTCATCACCATTATTGTTGTTATATGCCTTTAGAGACCACCATTTATGCCTCCTCCCATGGGTAGCATGCCACCACCTCCTGGTATGATGTTCCCTTCCCGCCTGTCACCGCCCCTGGGACACCAGCAATGCCCCCGGCTGAAGAGATATGGGTAGAAAACAAAACTCCAGATGGCAAGGTGAGACAGTTACCAGGAGCAGCGCAGTAATGGTGGCTGTTGTGAGCATTGTCACACACAGCCTGGCACTGTGGCAAAATCCTGCACTCGTGTCTGTCCTCTCGTTAATTATTGGTAAAACAGGAGGGACTGGACCGCTTATAGATGCTCCTCCTCCAGATAAGCAGTCGTTTGACGGTGACGTTTCTCGATTGTAGGTCTACTTCTATAACGCGCGTACGCGCGAGTCGGCGTGGACCAAGCCGGACGGGGTGAAAGTGATTCAGCAGTCGGAGCTGACGCCCATGCTGGCGGCGCAGGCCCAGGCCCAGGCAGTCGGTGCCTCCACGCCGACCACCAGCAGCCCTGCGTCTGCGGCGGCGCCGTCCCCCTCCTCGAGTACGCAGTCCTCCACAACCTCCACCACAACCACCGCCACTTCCGTGTCACAGACCATTTCCAGTGAGTAACGGGGTTTCGCAGCCCGTGCGGCGGTGGGGAGCGGGTGGTGGGGATGGGGCTTTGGGGAATGACTGCGGCAAAAACTTCGTGTCCAGGAGGAAGGTGTTGCAACGTAAAGTGGAGCATGAGTTTGAAGTGCAGTATTTAATCCAGAAAAACTCTGCATGCAAAGCCTTTTTTTTTTTCCTTCCCAATCTGAATGAGTTACTTCAGGAGAGTAATACTAGATTGGTACGCAACTCTTTTTCTTTAGGTCTTTGTGTATTTTTCTTCTCCTGTTATCACATCGTCTCAAAGCTATTATGCATCCATTTCCTTTTGACCATGGATAAAGCTGATTTAAAAGTATTTGACAAGAAGAGTTAATCTGAGTTTGGTTTTGTAGTTGTTGCAATTTCCTCTTTGTTTCCAAAATGTCATCTGTTGCTTTAAGAGGCTGGATCTGAGTGCTGCTCCTGGGCTGCAGAGAATTGGTGGATGGCAGAATAGAGCTGCTTCTGGTGTATTACTTTTATTAGCATTATTGTTCTGACTAAGCCTCTGTAAGTTCCCGTTTGCTAGAGCTGCACAAAAGAGGAAAAAGAAAGTCCTTAGAGCCCCGTTTAGTTCACTCATGACCTTTGAATAATAGTGTGAAGATGACTGCTGTTTGCATGGGCTGAGCCTTTGCTTCTAAGGGTTTGCCAGCCTAGGGAGTCTCAAGAGGAAAGTGGAGTGAATTTATGGCAGCGTGTGCACGATGCCTGTTTAGGCATAGTATCTGCATATAATAGAGATAGTGTGATCTATACTGTGGCACCTGTGTGCTACCAAAGTGCCTCTGGTGCAGAGCATCTGCCCAGAGATGTGTCTGAGGTGCTGTTTGCACACGAGTGTGCCACCAGCAGACCATGAGCACCATCACATCGCCCGAGCGAAGCCCAGTGCACCCGTGGAGGAGCAGAGGGGTCAGCGCTGCTGTCAGCCCGCAGGGCTGCCGACCGCACGCCGCGCACGCCCACCAGGAATCCCGGCCTTTGGCAGCCGTGATCCTTGTAGCCGCGCTGGCAGGAACGCGTGCACCGAGTCAGGCCAAAGAGGATGAGCAATTGCTGAGCTCCTCTAACTCCAGCTGTAGTGTGTAGTTGCATCCCTACTTCATCTTTTTCCTCTAACAGGTGAGGCAAGTCAAGCTTAACTCACCGTTTAACCCAAACTTCAGAGATCTTTGTAGGAAAGGGAGTCAAATTTAGGTAACTCTCAAATTGTGCTTTCGGTTAACACCGGAGGGAGGACAGGTCATTAGAGTAGCAAATAATTTGTGTTGCTCAAAGCATTTTAGGGCTTTTATTTCATTTGAAAAGTGACTTAGTGCTGCATTCAGCTGCTTTGCTGAAATACGGTCTGCTCTAACCGTTTTGCTGAGCAACAGGACTCAGGTAGGAGGTGATTGTTAGCTTTGAGCTAATGCCAGGCTTTTGAGAACGGATCCTTCTCTGGGAATAGCACTTTATGCACCTTTTCTGAAGCAAAATTTCCTAATATCGAATGCTGAGTCTGTTCCACTTCTACCTGTTCTACCTGCTAAACTTTGTCTTTGCTTTCAAGAACTGTTACTGTTGGTGTCTGTGCCTAGGTGATAAAATTTTATCATTTAAAATAATTTGATAACTCTCAGTCTTGTCCTGCAAAAGACCTGGGACTTCTGGCTGAGCTTCATTCTTACCTGGTACTGATTTGACTTAGACCTTAAAAAAAAAAAAAATCACATACAGACTGTCTGCTCTGTTTCCCTAAATTTCAGGCAGTGCTAAGAACTTTCACCCTTTCTGAAACAATAACAGATCAAAAATCTTTATTTAAATATGTTAATAGTGGTGTGTTACTGGGAATGCTTCTGGTAGTCATTGAATACTGAAGAAAATGCACAGTATGCCCATATATAATACAGTCAGAAGTTGGTGTGGTTTCTTTGTTTTTCAGTTAGCTCATTTTTACAACAGTTCCCCTTCCATCAAACTTTCCAGTGTAAATTTGCCAGGCTCGTCAGTGAGTTTAATCGGTCACATCTCTGGTTCTCGTCTGTCGGTGCTTTCATGCATAGCACTACTGATTCTCCGCTGGGGGCTGATTTCAGTCGTGCTGCAACCATTACGGAGTCGAATGCTAGTAGTGTGTTTTTCCTCTGGGAGGCACTGAAGACCAAGAGAGTTCTTGCAGCTTCTGAACAAAAGTACTTTCCTTTTCCTTGCTTATTTACACGGTTTTTAATTGCCATTTCTCCGTTCTTGGATCACAGCTTAATAAGCGTAGTTTTAGACAGACAGTTGTCATGCACACACTGCTGCTGTTATTGTTAAAAAGCATTTAACATAAGAACAATCTATTTCTGTTTGAAACTCTGTAACGTTCCCTTTCTAGTAGCGTGAACAGGCATACAGAGGCTACCCCTGTCCTTTAGTACACCCTTGCTACTGCCATAGCGACTTGTTAGGTGTAAAGAATGGGACAAAATAAAATTTGAAATGGACTTTCTTGGTGAATATTTAATGCTACAGAGAAGGCAAAGGTTTTTTGTCCAATGATTATATCTAAGCGTATCTGCTTATATAATGTCTGTTGGGAAACAGAGAGCCAGTGTGTTTGCAGCAAATATATTGTAGTGTCGAAGATACAAGGTGTTCTTTGTTTTTTTTTTATCAGCACCTACCACACAAGACCAGACCCCGAGTTCGGGTGTTTCAGTTGCCACACCATCAGTCAGTGTTTCAACCTCTGCTCCTTCTGCTACACCTGTGCAGACTGTACCCCAGCCAGTCCCACAGACATTGCCTCCTGCAGTTCCTCATGCAGTACCTCAGCCAACTGCAGCAATTCCTGCTTTTCCACCAGTAATGGTACCTCCATTTCGTGTCCCCCTTCCTGGCATGCCTATTCCACTTCCAGGTAAATTGGCGAACTGTAATTGTCTTGTCTGCTACATGTCCATGTTGTCAATTTGTTTGCACTCATGTGTCCACTGTGTATGGAACTTGCCTGAATCCTCTCCACTCAGAGTATTTTTTGAAAGAATTCAGGGTTAGCAGACAGACTTTTTAATTAACAAAGAACATGAAATTTTTCGACTTCTAGTTCTTTCGTATCAGAAAACAGCTGCCTTTAAACATGTAAACCTTTTCGTTTTGGACGATAGGAAAATATAAGAATTGCACTAAACAGTTTTAATCTGATGGCACGTGTCTATCTTGTCATCCTATTTAAAAAAAAAAGTGAGCTTCTGAACAGAATCCATGTGTGACTGAGAGTATTGTTGCACTGTATTTTACTAACTGCGATGTTGCTATAATTTTTTTCTGCTTGCTTGATTTAGACCCTAAGTCTTGTGCATAAATATTTGTTAGGACATGGGTTATAGCTGAAAGAAATGAGAAGATGATATATTTGCGAACAGGCAGAGCTGCTGTTCGTTGCTGAATGGCGTTAGGTGCCTGCAGCTGGCAGGGGTGGTGCTGAGCGGGCACAGACCGCGGAGGGTGAAACGGAGGGCCCTGATGAAGGCGTGCAGGGGTGCCATTCACGGGCTCTAGATGTAAAGATTGTGGAGAAGAAATCTGAGATGGCAGCCCACTGGTTCCTGGGTAAATCCTATTTTCTTCAGGTTTTTATAAAATCTTTAGGTACTTAAGGAACTGATTTTGGGCCGGCCAAATGTGGGACTCGACTGCTGTTTGTGGTCGCTGCAGAGGTCCTAAGAGGCCGCCCAAGCCTCTCACTGCCTAAATACCATGTTTCGTTTTGCACGGCGACGGCCGAGTTCCTGCTCTGGTACAAAAGCCGTTGACGTGTTTCGGTGTGCAGTAGCAGTACCTGTGTACCGAGCTGGTGGTTTTCTGCTGCAAAGGAAGGTTTGAGGCTGCAGTTGGGTTGGATACAAGTCAGTTCCTGATTAGGAATTACCAAGAAGCATCTCTGAGCAGCGTCCTCACGTTTTTGACTCTTTGTACAAGCTGAGTGAAGCGGCTTCTTTCCTGGTGTCCTTTTAACGCGCCGATCCAGTGCGTATGAAGGAAGGAACTGGTTGGATGAAAAGTAATCTTTTGGAAGGCTTGTTTGGCAAAGGGTTCAAGTATTACTGTAGTTAAAATGGATATTAGTGCTGCTAACTAGAAGAGAGGACCAACTTGTAGTTGCCTCTGCTTTCAGGATAGTCTTCTAAAATAACTGGGTGAAGCTACTTTGATCTGTAATTTGCTTGAGAAGAAAATCGCAGTGTAGTGCTCATTTTAGGGCAGGAAACAGGTACTGTTCTGAACAAGATATTCAAGGCTGAATGAAAAATGGGTAGAGAACTGCGATGTCTGTATATTTGTGAGGTTTGGAAGAACAATAAAAAGGGTGAAGCCTTAAAGGTGGTCAGCTGAATGTTCTTAACTGCAATTTCTGATATTGCCAGCAAGGGATCAGCATAGAGTGAAGAGTCCTTACGTACCTTTGAAGGATGTAATTACCTACTGAGGTGTGAACTGTCGGGTAAAATGTGGATGGTCAAAGCAGTAGAGGAGCGTGCCAGAGAAAATAGATACACCAGAATGTGTGCTTGGGTTGGATTTTTTCATAAGCTCTCAGTTAAAAAGTTTTGGGAGTAGTGCAATACAGAAGGAAAGACAGAGCAAGAACATCGATCTCCTCCTCCTTAAACTCGTTTTTGGAATTTTATTTTTTTTCCAGAACTTTCCCGGTAGCAGGTCTTAGATCTGGTCTCTTCTCTGGTTCTCACAGTGAGATGAGCCTTTTGAGTGGAACCCATAATACATAAGAAAGATGCCTAGCAGTAAAGCACATACTCCCACTGATGAATCTGATTTGTCATTTTGCCTGTTTACAGAATAAAATCAGTCTGCTTCTTTCAGCTAATTCTGACTTGAGTTGGTTGTAATGGTTTATAAACACTGAAAAAGAAAAGGAAACGTTTTAAAATATTTTACAGTGACAAGAAACAAAAGAGAAGTCAAAATTACTTGATGGCAGTGTAACGTGAAGTCAAAAAGGCTTGCCAAGTGTTAAAGTGTAGATGTTTGGGGCTTTCACCACGGATGCTCTGATCAGCCAGACTGCTTTCAAGAGACAGAGCTGAACAATACGGTGTCAATGATTTCACAGTTAATCTCTGTGTTACGCTAGAGTAAGACGGAACAATGGAAGAGTTGATTAGTGATATCTGGTAATCTCAGATCTTAAAAAGTAAGTCTGCTTTCTCTTAATTCGTACGTTAAAAGTTAGTTGTGTGTTTGAGAATGAACTTGGCAGAGGAAACAGCTTGAGTATTTGCTCAGTCGTATCTGCGCTGCAGTATCGTGATTTCAATGATCCCGCAGATGGCATTATTTATACTGACCCAGTTTTGAGACATGCTGTAACTTCCTTAACAAAACGAATTTTCAGATTCATTTTCAAATACGTAGCATGAAACCCTCCCCCAAAATTTAGACAGACACTTCATTCAGTGCTGCTTAAGTCAATGTTTTTGTGTCTCAATTCATACTACTTTTTATAAAACTAGTTTTGGATTCTTTCACTGAAATTATTATTAAAGAACAGTACAATCCTGTCTTCTCACAAATATTTTTTTTAAATAAATTGGCAGTATTTTTGTATGCTTTCCATACTAGACCTCTAATGAAGAAAAATATAAATTACTTTCGTTTTAAACACAGGGGTTTAATTTCACTTTGCACTGGAGAATTTCCAACCTCAGATGATGGAATTGAAACCATTTAAGGGGAAGTTTCAGAAGTCTGTCAGTTTCTGAGTGTCCAGACTGGACCAATGTAGAGAGAATCTCTACAGTTTCCTTCTGCACCCTAGAATGAAGGTTTTTGCAAACGTGTTCCCCTTCCCCCTGTCTAATTTCCTACTGAATTTTGCATCTAATTGAAGAAGATGAGATGCTTTCCTCTTTGTGACCTTTCTACGTAATTTCTTAGTGAGCTGGAGAGCAGAACAGTGCATGGTGCTGCCTTTTTTGAGGGCTCGTTATGCTGCTTTTAGAGCATTTTTCAGCTTGTGACTTCTTTATAATGAAAAATAAAAAAATGTTTGCTGCCACTGACCCAGTGCAGCTTTGTGTACCTCTGCTTGCAGCTTCATTGCTTTTATTTCTTTTTTCTCCCCTTCTTCCACCTCCAGCCTTTCCGTGATGACCCTCACTCATAACCTGAGCTTTCCCTCTGGGTTGAGCTTGGCTTTCACCCTGCTGCGCCTTGCTAGTCCGAACAGTTTAGATCTGTCCTGCTCTCACCACTGCTTTCTAAAGGCAGCAGCAGACTGAAAAGAGTTTCACTTTGTTGCTGCTCCCCTGATGGATCTGTCTGAGCAAAGGCTGTCAGTGCAAAACAGCACCGGTCGTATTTTCCCTCGGTCCTGCCCTGCAAGGAGAGCCGGGTTCCCCCTTGAGTGAACTTAAACCCCTGAGTCTCCATTGAAATGCCTTTTTTCTTTTTAATGACGTCCCAATAATTTGCTGAACAGCGGTTTAATGTAGGCAGAAACTGTTGCTGCAGCTCAAAATTAGTTTTATATTTGATCTGGCGTAAAATGCTGGAGCAGAAAGCATTCACATTTTGTTACTGGGAGGCTTTGCTCTTTGCCGGCTGCAGACGGCATTCCAAATTGTAGCAGGAAATCCGTAGCACCCAGATCCCCGTGGTAGCTGACATCCGATGGCAGCTTTCCAACGTGCTTGCTTGTCCCTTTTACAGGTGTAGCAATGATGCAAATAGTCAGCTGCCCGTATGTAAAGACAGTCGCTACCACCAAGACCGGTAATTTTCAAACCCATCTTAGTTCGTTTTGTCTGTAAGTTGGCATGGTAGTGAATGTTGTTGTTTATCTTTTCTTTATTTATTTGCTTCCCCAAGTGAATGAGTATATATACTTTATTTTCAAAACCAGTATAAATGCAAATATCGTATTTGGCCAGGAAATAGCTGCCCCAAATAACTGTTAGCATTAGCTTATTTTATAAAAAATGTCCAGTGCAGTTTGCTGTAATCATTGAGTTCTGTAATAACTGTGACTCTCTTCATGCCCATACTTCTTAGTTACTGGTTTCTTGTGTGTGGATTTTTGTTTTTCCTACTTCCATCCGTGTAGTGACATGACTGTGCTCGCATGTTGGTGTGCGTGTATGTGCGTCTTAGTATAAATTTTCATTTTTTCAAATTGTGGGTTTAAGAAAAGTCACTTACTGAGAACAGTTTATGGCAATGTGTAATGTGTGCTTTTCCATTCTTTAAAGAGATAGGCTTTTTCAAACAAATGTTAAAGGCTCAAATTTACAATCTTGTAGTTCTAGTCTTACCCAATTCGTTTTCTAGAACTTGTCATCCAAAGATGTTCAGTATATCCATCTTGTTGGCATGAGCTGGGAAACGATAGGATAATGTAGCATTCTGGCTTTCTTATCTTTGGATATTTACTTGCCACTTTGCTTTAGGATGTGAATAAAATGTTTTGGTTTTTTTTTTTCAAATTGGTCTGCAGTACTAAACAAAACCATCACCCAACCTGAAATTATTTCATTCTCATCAGTTTTAATCCAAGGTTTGAATTAATGTTAACTTAATTTAAGTCAGGATTTAAGATTTAACAAGAGCCCTGCTCTGTATTATATGGCTCAAATTCAAGCCACTGTTGTTTGTTTTTCGAGAGCGATAGGAATATCTCTTAAAACAACAGCATAATTAAACAGTGGAGTAGACTTTAAAAAAAAATAATTATTTGCTATAGAGATCTAATAAAGACTTTTTAAATAAATAGAGCACTTAATTTTGAAATACTAAAGCAAATGTCCAAAAACTAGCAAGCTTTGTGCTGTGCAGAATTCACGTTACTTTAATGAAAATAAAAAGCTATCTAATTTGCCTGGTAATATGGACATTACTTGTTGCAAAACACAGGAAGGAAATTTAGTAACAATGCATTGCTTTCCAATTTAATTTTGAAAACAATCTTTATTTATATAGCTTGATTATTTGTAAATTAAGTCAGTAAAGTGGTAGGTTGTGGGTCTCGGGTACTTCATCGTCACTTACTGTTTTCTCTCCTTTTTCCTTTTCTTTCTGTTTCTCCTCTCCCTGGTGCAGGTGTCCTGCCAGGCATGGCCCCCCCCATCGTGCCGATGATCCATCCGCAGGTCGCTATTGCCGCGTCACCGGCGACGCTGGCTGGAGCAACAGCAGTCTCGGAGTGGACGGAGTACAAAACAGCAGATGGAAAGACTTACTATTATAACAACAGGACTTTGGAGTCAACGTGGGAAAAACCCCAGGAACTGAAAGAAAAGGGTACTTCTTGACAAATACAGCTGTATACTGGGCAAAACTGCTTAGGCCGTTAGGTCGTTTGAAAATGTGAACGAGACTATTTCTAGTCCTTTATCTCCCTTAAAAATATTTTGAAATCCTGATTGTAAGTATCCATTTGAGTTGATCTGGACTCTGGAAGTTATAGTTTCTTTGTTTCGCCCTGTATTGTAAGAGTGTTTGGCTCTAGAGTTGCTTCCCAGCCCTGTGACGTTTGGGTAAATGCGTGTTTCCGCTCCAGTAGAAAGTACGTACTTCAGGTCCTCATGTGTTTGAGAAGATCCCAGTGCAGAAATGTAGAAAGTGAGGGGGAAGGTCAGTTACTCTGAAGAATGTAAACCAGGAAGGAACGAAGATCGTTGAAATGACAAATTTCAGATCTTCAAAAACTAAGCATATAAACAGGTTTGGAGCACGAGGAAAGAATAAACTACCTGCCCCCTCCACATCCCTCAGCGGTGTTCTGGCCCTGTTCCGTGGCTTGTTTTTGCTTGAACCCACGTGATATCCACGGGTGGTGGTATATTGGAGGGAAATTGTTCTTGCATCATGAATAAGGAAGAAGGGGCAAAAATCATGTGGCTTTTATTCAGTTTAGAAAGTCTTTTAGGAAAACAAATCCAGTTGGATCCAGATAATTCTTCCTTTTATTGTCTGCTGAATTTTTCAGTTACAAGAAGTCTTTGGTTAGGTATTCAGAACACTTTCACAGTTAGCTACTTTAATTAATGCCCATCTTTCTAATAATTCAGGTTTAAATAATAAGTCTTTTTACTGAGGTGAAAACATCTGAGATGGCAAGTATCAGTTTCATTGAGTAAAGATTATACATTTTATCCTTTTTTTTTAGATAGGTGCAGAGCAAGCCTCAGATGATTCTCCATGAATTTTCTCTGATTTTTTTTTTTTGTCAACACCATTTCAAATCTGAAAGTTGTCTTCAGTGTTGCACTGTTGGTTGCAACTGCTGGTTGATATTTTTCTTGGTGTTTCATCCATTTCTGTTGGTATGTTTTAGTTGGCTTTTTAATGTCATAGGCTGCCTTACAATATTTTGTTTTCCAGTCCCAAGTAGATCTTGGTACAGGAGATAATCGTGTCTTTATAAGCAGACTCTGTAAAGCCCAAGAAGGATAGAAAGTGGTGAAAATACATTAAAAATAAGTTTTGTTTGCAGTCGTGCTTGAAAAATCATACCGATAAAAATAAATTTGTTGTGATTCTATAATGGTTCCTTAATAATACTAAGGAAAATTCTATCTTTATTTAGAAAAAATGGAAGAGAAGATTAAAGAGCCAATTAAAGAACCAACAGAGGAGCCTTTGCCAATGGAGACAGAAGAAGAAGAGCCAAAAGAAGAACCTATAAAAGAGCTTATAAAGGAGGTAAAAGACCTTGCCACCAAATAGTCAGTATTGCCATTTTGAATCCTGCATCCTACAGGTGTGGATGCATCTGTAGATCAGGCATGTGGGCAGGAAGCATGGTTAGGTTAGTAGTTTGAGTTCTTATGTTCCTGGGGTGATTTTGAAAGCCTTCCTTTCTGGACTCATAGCTTTTTGTTCCCCCCTTTTTTTTAATTGATTTTTTTTTTTACATAAGGAAAAAAGGACATTTAAAAGAAAAACACAGAGTATGTGAGTTAAGAAATTAGTAAGAACATGGAAAATAGACATGATCTTTGTGAGTTAAGAAATTAGTAAGAACATGGAAAAAAGCTAGCTCATTACATAGACATGATCTTCGTTTGCTGATTTTAAGGTATTCAGAAAAATGAAGCTTGTCCTGAATGTTTGAAATCTTTAAATTAATAGCTTTTTCTCTGTTTCTTTTTTACTTTGGTTTGAAACAAAACTTACACATTCTCCCTGTGCTACAACTGATAAGTTCAGTCTGTTTAGGAACACCTGTCTGAGAAAATGTGTGTAGTGTTTACATTGTAGAAAACAAAATTAACTTTTTTCTTGTAAGGCATTTTGTCACGCTGAGAAAGCATAGTGCTTGAAGATGCTAGGATGTTCGAATAAAAATTAAGGCTTTTATACAGATTTCTGTGAACTTCAACGTAGCTCAGTGGGCAAAGGCACAGAATTCAGTTGCTGGTTTTTATTACTGCTCTATCCTGTTTACTTTTGAGGTAGTTGTTAGTTTCCTTATTTCTGCTGCAAAGGTTATTGCAGATTTTTGACTGTTTCATACTCCGTGTCTCATTTTAAAGGAAAATTTTAAGAATATATCAAAATTTCTTTGCGAGAAGCTACACCCTTGCCCCTGTACTCAGACCCTGGTCCAAGGATTCGTGCAGATCTAGGATGGCATTTAAATAAGGTTTCATTGAAGTCAAAAGTTAAGTAAACACTTGGAAAATTGAGATTTTTGCATAGCAGGCACTGTTGGAATTCCAATGCCTCTGTTTTAAGCAGGGATGAAGCTGTTAGCGTTGTTTCAACACGCATTTGGTGGTTTAAACAAATGAGCTACTTTACAATAAATAATTAGCTAGCTGTCATTGCCTGAAACCCGTAACCTGTCTTCCCTTGAGGAGCCCAAAGAGGAAGAAATGACTGAAGAGGAAAAAGCGGCGCAGAAGGCCAAGCCGGTTGCGACCACTCCTATTCCCGGCACCCCGTGGTAGGTGGCGGTTTTCCCTGCGGCCCGCTGCTGCGGGGCTGAAGGTTGTGTCCTGTGGCCGCAAGGAAGGTCGCTGGGCAGTGGAGTAATGGCGTGTGAAGATGCTGTTCTCGGTGCGCTTCCGTCGCAAATCAAGTTGGATAGTTGTAGAACACTGGAACAGGTTGCCCAGGGAGGTGGTGGATGCTCCATTCCTGGAGACGTTCAAGGCCAGGTTGGACGAGGCCCTGAGCAACCTGATCTAGTTGGAGATATCCCTGTTCCTTGCAGGGGGGGGTGGACTAGATGACCTTTGAAGGTCCCTTCCAGCCCTAACCATTCCATGATTCTATGATCCTTCAGCCCGCACTGCGGGCACTGCGCCAGCGCCCCTGGTGCTCAGCGGGGTGTGCACGGCCTGTCTGCCACCCGCTGGCCGCAGTCCTGTCAGGTGCCTTACCAGTATGGATTCTGTGTCCCTGCCCCTTCATCTGCCACGGGTTCCTCCTGATCTGGTGTGAAATACTGGCCAAGAAAATATAAAAATATATTTGACTTCTTTTGCCCTTATGCCATGGGGAAGGAATAGCTGCAGCTACTGGCCAAAGCAATCAAAACGTTTTTATTTTCTTTTTTTTTTGATCTTGGCATAGATTTTTGTCAGCTGCCTATGATGAGGTTACTTTTGCTGTAGTATGTGTAAAACATATTTGTGTGCTTGGATAACCAAGGTAAAAATCTTACTCATGGGAAAAGGGATATCATTTTAATTTTTGCAATTTAGCTGTCGATGCTTTTTATTAATGTTTGATATTTAAAACTGTCTCTTCAAATTATCTCTGCGGTTCCTTCATCCCATCATTTATAAAATTCTGGTAAGATCATTAGGTTGCTTTTTCTCATATTTTGGGGGCATTGAAGAGATGAGGGTATGTTTTATCCCAAAATCCAGTTCAGCCATCTGAAACATTTTTCTAAAGAAGAACTGAATATGCTACAGCTCCTGATAAATAGCATTTTTAAAATGACATTAAAAGTGCTAGCAGGGAAAAGCAGTAATTCAGAATCCCATTTGGCCAGTAGGAATGCCTGGTACTTGTGCAGTGAGTATGACCTGGATCTGTCTGTGACCGTTACGCTTGCTTCAGGCTTTGCATGTGGGAACAGGTGTATAGATATGAATGAAGATAAAGATAACACAAGAATGAAGATAAAGGTAATACAAGACTTTGTGTCTGTCAAATTTCTAGGTGTGTGGTGTGGACTGGTGATGAGCGTGTTTTCTTCTATAACCCTACCACTCGTCTCTCCATGTGGGACCGACCAGATGACCTAATTGGAAGAGCTGACGTGGACAAAATTATTCAAGAACCTCCTCACAAAAAAGGAATGGAAGAAGGAAAAAAACTTAGTAAGAGCAATCTTACTGCCTTCTTAAGAAGTCTGAATATAGTTTAGCACTCACTTTGTGTGGTTTTCCAAAGCTAGTAACATAGTGAAAGAAATGTAAGGATGTAATGAAAAGTGTATATAGCTTTGGAATTGAAGAAGGTTGGTGGGAATGCAGGTATACAGAGTCCTTTGGAAAAAAACAGTCTATTGAAGAAAGATGCTAACAAGGTTAATTTTTTCCTAAATGCCAACAGGCTGAAAAAACCCACAGTTCTTACTGACTAAAAAAAAGGGACTGTATTTGTTTTATTAGCAAGAAGAATTTGGGGGCCAGAAAAGATTAATCATAACTTACAAATGGGTTCTCACAGAATAGGATTTAACTTAGAGAACATCAACTGGAATACAGTTTTGGAAGCAGCTGCCAAGAGCAGAGAACATTCAAGAGGCTGCTGAGATGAGACTTCTTTCTGGCATGAGTTCTAGTAAATGATCCTGGGATGACACGTGGGCTTGGTAGTTGGAGGAGAGCGAAGTGCAAGTAGGTAATCAGGAGATCCACATGTGCCTCGTTAGACTGTTTAGCCTGACTTTTCCTACCTCCCAGCCCCCAGGAAATGAGAGGTCAATGTTTGTCATTTTAAATCCAAAGTTGACCACAGGTCCGTTAGTCCTGCACCAAATTCCAATAGTGCTGTTCTGGAATCAGCTGAAAAGCGTGTGTCTTCCGTTGTCAGAATACATTATTGCTGCACGCGTTGTCCTCTGGTTTTGCGCAAGGTTTCGTTTGTGATTTGCAAACTTCTCATAAAGATAAAATCTAAAGTATTACGGAAATCTGTTACAGTTAGAGAAGAGCATGAATCTACAGAGGACGCAAATGAAGATGAGCCTATTAAAATTAAGAAGCGCAAGTAAGTTTGCTTTTTCAATACTAAGTGGCCTGTGTGGTAAAATGAAGTTTTTAATCTGAGCAGTGTGTATACTGTTGTGTTCAGCAGAGGAGAACAGGAACTAATAGGACAGGTGAAACACGATCATCAACTTTCTGCTGTTTTACTTTAGCAGCTCAAGTATTTGATCTTTCTGTGAGAGCTGAAATTCATGTACAGAGGTAACAGCGTCTCCTTTGGAAATCATTTGAAATGGAAATAACTTATGCCATTTATTTGGTGAATCCAAGGAATATTTTGAGTGCAGTTTATCTTAAGTAGTTTGCTTCTGTTGCTTGTTAATTTCTGTGCACAGGGTTTCATTGCCAAAAAATCAGCCATCAGGTTTTCATAGTGATTACTCAGTTTCCACTCTATTTCAAAGCCTTAAGAGTTTTGTTTAGGTCTTTTGGTCTGTTTTGCGTATTGAAAGTGGAATACGTCACTACGCTGAGTTACTGTTTTGGCAGTGTTTTTACCATTTATCTGTTATTGTGTGCTGTCAGGGATGATCATAAAGTCGTGAGCAATTAGGGCTTTGAGTTTGTGTTTGGGACGAAGCGCGTTTGCTCTCAGTAAACGTACATCAACAAACGGCACGCTTGTTTCCGGCAATGCTTCGGTGGGTGAATGCCTCCTGTGCGTTACGGCGCTTTCTGTTCAGTGATTGCCAGGTATTCTCAGTTTGAACTAACTCCCTTGGCCGTGGTCTTTTCACAGGGGCCTCATGGTCTTGAACAGGAGGTAAGAAAATGAGCGCAGCTGATGTAAAATCTTATCGCACGTCTGGCAAGACCATTGAACGCAGCCAGAACGTGCTCACTTCTTGGAGTCGTTTGCTAGAGCTGAAGTTACTGAGAATGCCTTTGTTCTTGAGCTCTTGCAGTAGGAAAGCATTCAGAGTTGAGTCTCAAAGAATGGCTTTCACCATTGTAAGCCTGTGCTTCTGAAGTAGTCAGTTATATCCGTTCTGTCCTGGTCTAGTTCCATTCCTAACGTACACGGTTGACCTGTTACTTCTCAAGTTACACTGTATATTTAATTTTTTTCAGGAAAGATGATAACAAAGATATTGATTCAGAGAAGGAGGCTGCTATGGAAGCTGAAATTAAAGCCGCACGAGAGAGAGCCATTGTCCCTCTGGAGGCTCGGATGAAACAATTCAAGGACATGCTTCTAGAAAGAGGGGTCAGAGAAATCAGTGTGTGTGTGTGAGAAGGGGAGGGAGGGAGGGGGAGGTTCAGTCTCAATTCCTAGCAAATTCAGAACCTGCAGTGCTCTATGTATGGAAAACAGTCTCACCCTTCCTCTGATTGAGGGATGCATTTGGTACCAGACTCCAAAGAATGTTACAGTTATAGCAAAATTTTGATTTCTAAGTAACTTATGTTAAACAGTATCAAGACAGGTTATTTTTTTATAAAGTTGTTTCCAAGTTAAATAATTATGTAATTGAAAGCTGCTGTTGAAAGTAAATAGAACACCCAAACTGGAGGCATCCTTAATGTTTTTGGAAATGTTCCTACGTGAGAAAAGTAGTAAGTTCCGCTGTAGTCTGTACGCTCTTATCCTTAAATAGGAGACTTTTTGCTTTTAGTTAACTCAATTTGAAATCTGCTTGATACCAATCAGTTTTGATAGATAAATTAGACTATTAGAATACAAATTTGTATAGTAACTTTAAAGAATGGAAGTGATTCCAGCTACCTGTGCAGCTTTAATTTAGTTTCAATAACTGGATTTTATGGAATAGTTTTAATAAGGCTTATTCAAGATGAGCTCAAACATGTTTAAATTGATCTCTTTTGTAGCAGAACTGTTTGCATGCATAACGTTTAGAAATTATGTAGAGCAGGCATGGGATTTGAGAATATAGAATCTCAGGGCTTTTTTCTGGTACACTTTTTTTTAGTGTCACATAGTAGTAGTAATTAAGTGTGTGTTATTATTTAGAAGTTTTCAGAGCCTGTTAGTGTTGAAACTTGCTGTGGCAGCCTCCATCATCTGTTAGTAATGAAAACTTCAGTATGAGTTTGTTTCCCTCTTTTCATTGAATCTCCTATAGTTGTCAAGCAAAACTGTACAACTGCTGTGTATTTGAGGGAACTTAACCATTAGTTTAAAATCTGACTTTTTTTTAATTAAAGGTCTCTGCTTTCTCAACATGGGAGAAAGAGCTACACAAGATAGTTTTTGATCCTCGTTACTTACTTCTCAACCCTAAAGAAAGAAAACAGGTAAAACAGAAGTCAAATTCACTCCCCATCCAGACACAAATATTACAGACTTTATCTAAATCCTCAGTCTCCTATTTTTGTTCCTGCTAACCTTCCAGACTAATCAGTGTTGCAAGGGATTTTTGTTACGATTAAGAGTTTGTCTGGAAATAGAAAAAGCTAGCAAGAAAAGTGAGTTGATAGTTTTTATTTTTCCTGTGGTTGGAAGATCTTGTATTTGAACACAGTTGTACGCTTGCAGAGAACTCCCAAAAGCCTGAATGAGATGATAAAAATCGTCATTATCTCTTCAAAATATCAGCATAATGAATAATCTGTCTACTTTAAAAAAATAAAAAAAGGTTGTTGGGGGAAAAAACAAAGTTCATTTTTATTGTTAAGCAAGTTCTCACTCCAGAAGTTTTTCTTCAAGTGGATATAAGGAAATGGAAAACTTCAAGAATACAAGCAGTGTCTGCTGTCTTAAACATATGACCCAGAAAAATGTTAACCTCACATGAACGTGTAAGAAACTCCTTCGCAGGTCTCGGACTACATGTTTAAGTGCAGTACGTTCAGCAGATGGGAGTAATTTACATGTCCAGATACAGAGTCCCTAACCCTTCTTTGTACCTCTCCTATGTCAGTTCTGTGGTGAGAGGGAAGGAAACAGGAGAAGAGGAAAGAAATGGTATTTTTTTCCTCCCTCTTGCCCCAAGCTCATCATGTGGCCTCAGGTTTGTATGTTTTATGTCGGTGACTGGTGTTTCTGTAGGTATTTGATCAGTATGTGAAAACGCGAGCGGAAGAGGAGCGCAAGGAGAAGAAAAACAAAATAATGCAGGCCAAGGAGGATTTCAAGAAAATGATGGAAGAAGCAAAGATTAATCCAAGGTAGGAGCTTCTTTCTTGTTCGTATGCGTAAGCTCTGTTAGCATCAAGTAGTTGGGTGGTATTAGGTAGGTTAACCTCTTTCGAAATAGGCAAAGAGGAGAAAAATAATCAAATATTGTTGAAATCTTCTTTCGCCTGTTTGTATTCACCTAACCCATGAAATAATAGAACTTGTGATTTATAATGCTTTACATATTTTAAGTAATTTTGAAGAAATCCTCAGCGTGCTGTCCAGATCATGAGAAAGGCCTCATGACCCACCACAAGTTTTCTTTAATAACCTTGTTTGTTTTTAAGAATATTAGTAGTCACTGAGAAGTACTAGGGAGGGTTCTTCAGTTTGGAAGGACCTGAAGGATGTTTTTTTGGTTACAAAGTGCACTGATGATAATGTGATAGAATGTTCTGGTTGCTGTAATACAGAAATTACTACATACCCATCACGTTCAGACCTACTTACAGTGCCAGCAGCGAGGCGATGCCAGTGAACGGACTCACGCTCCAGATTTAATTGCTAGAACTGTTTGCTTCACAGCTTTCTTGTATAGAGTTCATGAAATATGTGCTTTTGTCGCCAGATGAGCTCTAAAGCGTTCTCTTTCAGCATCTCTTGGTTTATCTGGCATTAATTCTTTTACAGTGAAATAACAGCTCATTTGTTTCACTTCAGCTTAATTTTTTCCAGTGATCTGTTTTTGGAAATCTGGTGGAAGCCAATGTTATGTTAAATTTTAAATTACTTCAAATCTGATTAATAACTCTTATTTAAAACACCTGTCTGCTCATTTAATAAGGGAGCAGTTTCAGCAGTAGTAGACTGGGAAGCATGGAGGCATGGAAATGTTTTAAGAAAAAGTTCATCAGGTTTAATATATAATTCAGAGACTAACATGGACTATTGTGCTAGCTTTATCATCCTCAGCTTCCGAGGCACCTCCAATGTGTCATATTGGGACTGACTCTTACCCGGTCATGGGTTGGGGTGGGAAGGAAAATTCCAGCTGAAATACTGTCTTGTTTAATCTTATCCTTTGTCTTCTGGTTTCAGTTTGTCTAAAGATATTGCTGTACTTCTGTGAGTGCCAGACGGGGTTTTTATCATCTATCTCAGTCCAACATGCTCAAGAGTTTGTGTTCCACTTCACTTAAACAGCTCTTGTTCTTCGATATAGCTGTACATTCACTTTATCTTTTTGAATAAGCTACCAAATTCTCTTCTTGTTTCAATTTACCCTACAGCAACAGTAGGCTGGATTTTCCAAGTCTAATTATTTCCATGCTGTGATGAAAACATTCGTATGATTATAAGTGTCTCACGTATTCTTGGGGCCAGATTTGCATCAGAGCTTGGAAAAAGCACAGTAGTGGTTTTTTTCGAGGTAAGTGGCAGTACTATATCTACTGCACAGATTGGAATCTGGCCCTGGAGGTGAGAGAATGGTCAGGGAAATGCTATGGGGATAATGGGTCGAAAGCCCAGTTGTGCTGCATCTGCCCATAGTGTTTAAAATATTTTCAACTCCGTGTGCTTTAAGGTTAGGCTGTACAATGTTCACTGTAGGAGGAAAAGTTGATTCAGCCAGTGTTCTATTGTGACTAATACCAGAAAGTGATTTTCTTGGTGGACTCTTAGCATGGTTTGGCTGCAAGTGAGTGCACGTAAAATTTTCAGTTTCACAGCTGTGAAATACCTGGACAGACCGGTGGCTGAACTGCTAACCCCAAAAAAGAAGATTTTTGTAGACAACTGAGTTTTTTCATTTCTTCTCTTGGTTACGTTGTAGTCTCTCTTCCTACACCTGCACTTTCTGCAGGTAGCTGTATTGAAACAAGCAAACAAAACCCCCCTGTAAGTCTCTAACGATACCTTTCATGTGTGTGCCTAAACCTGACTCCTTTGTATATAGCCCACTGATCACGCATCTCTATAGTGAGGCCATAGGATGTTGGCTTTTTTTTTAATTTTTTTAAATACATTGTGCTCTGGCATGTA